TCAGTGGCGATTTAACCCTGTTGAAATTCACATTGCCATTTGTATCATTCACACTTTAAAAATTTACATGGCAGAATGAGGTTAGACTGGATGGCCCTTGGGGTCTCTTCCAACTCTAGGATTCTATGATTCTTCTTCTGGAATGCCCTCCTTTTTGCGGTGCCTGGTTCTCCTTGGCAGTGAGGACATTTGGTCACCCTGAATGGGGATCAGCTCTCCCTTTGGGCACTTCTTGCTTTGCAAAGAAAGGCGGAGTGTCTGGGCAAGGAAGCTTTGCTGGGGAGCCATAAGGCAGTGGGTGCTGCTGTTTCCTCGCCTCCTGAGGACCCCCCCTTCCCCATCACTCTCAGTAGGGAATAAAGATAAAAATAAACCCCTTCCTCCTGCACCCCAAGAAAGGAGGCTTCCTTCACTCCCTTCCCTGCACAGGGTGACCAGATGCCCTCCTTCCCAGGATGTGTCCTCCATTTCAACTTTTTCTATCCAGGAGGAATTCCAAAAATGTCCTCCATTTTGAGCATGGCTCAAGCAGTGCAGGTAAGCAGTTCCCATCCCTCTGCTTGGAGAATTGGGGTGGGTAGGAACAGCCTCTGTCAGCCTCAGAGGAAAGAGAGAAAGACAACCCCTAACCCACCCCCTGATAAGGTTTGTTAAAAAAGTCAATCAAATCATGCGCACCTTGACAAATGATGATGTTAGTATAGTATGGTCTACTGCGGCCATGCAATAGCAAAGGTGTGCATAACCTGTCAATTTTTTTAAAGTAAACTATCTTATGAAGTTCCCTGGCTTTGGCTTTGGCTGGGAGAGAGCGAGCAAAGGGGTGGGCATGATCTGCCCCCTGTGCATTAACCTCTCCCTTCCTCACCCTGAACTGAATTGACAGCAAGTTCCTATTTGTGGCTGGTAGAAAAAGACCAGTTCTTTTCAAAAGAACCACTGAAATCCTAGTTTCTGAAAAACCTGTGTTAAGGGGGATTTGCCTTGGGTCCACCCCGATTCAGGTGTGCAAAACCCGGCACCAGTGTGAACTACCCACTTTTAAAACAGTTTGCAAACCAGATTATAACATAGTGTGAATGACCTCTCAGACTCAGGGTGGAGACATTTCAGGCTGTCAGGCTTGTTAACCCATACATTTCCAGGATGATTTGGAGTACATAGGTCTACTTGGCTTGGTATTGCTTATTCACATTACGCTTTCAAATTATGGGGAAATTGGAGTGCTATGCTTCTAGAAAAACGAGCTCACAGACGCTTACAGTGTTCAGAAAATAGAACAGCAACAATTCTTGTTAAAACACCATATCACCCCTTTCATGCATTACTCACTGGAGGCTTCACATGATTAAAAAGTCTGATGTATATCTCCTTCTCCAGTTTTTAAGCATTGACACAGGAGGGCATCATATGTGTGGGTGTCAGGGCAGGACTAAGCCATGCAGTGTAACCCCACTGCTTCCTTAATTACATGAAGCCTCTCCCTCATCAGTAGCATGTGATGAAAGTTAATATATAAACAGGACTACTTCCACTGTCTGAGAAACATCAAATATTTGAACTACCCCCTTCTTGAGTTTCAGAGCTGTGTAGATTAAAGTCCCCTTTTCATTCTTTCATCTTAAGTGTGTTGATTTTTGGTAATCTGCTGATCAGCTCAGCTGTGTATAAACCCGTCTCAAATGGATTAAAGTGGTATTTTCCCATCAAGAAGATCTATTGTAACAGGAGTGTGGAAACTTACTCCTGTTGGACTTGAGAGTCTTGACACCGTAGCCAGTGCTTGGGGGTGACATGAGCCCCCAAACAGATGGAAGGCTACAGATTCTCCTCCCCATTTTTATGGGAATGGCACTTCTGATATCACTGTGGTACAGATATAGTACTAAGCAACTTGCTGCAGCCTATTGTGATCACTCCTATGATCCAAGATCTTGGCAACAAGTGTGTGTGTATGTGACAGTGTTGAATTATGTATCATGCTGCTGCTTGTTTTGAGATGAGGAACTCTGCCAACCTTGTATAGCCTCTCTGAACTTCTGCTGTAAGTTACGTCTACAGTTATACAAACCTCCCTATAACTCAATCTAAATTTGCCTTCCTGTGTAGTTTTTCCTTTTATGGAAAATTCAATTATTAATTAGAAATGTATTGTCAACATTTTCTATTCTGCTCCCTGCTCTCATTAGTGAAATATGCTTATCTCAGCTTAGTCCAGAGCAGTCAACAAATGTAACTCACCACTGGTGACCAATTTTTTCCTGGTGGCCACTTTTTCTGGGTTAACACCTGATTGATCCTTGCTGTTCTCTGTACAGGAGAACTTGGACATGGTTGGGGAGAGAAAGGGAAGCCACCCTTTCTCTGTATAACCTGTGTATAATCTGTGCGTGCCATGTTGTGGGACATGAGTGGGGAGTGTTCAGAGTGGAGATGGAGGTGACTGGAAACAACAAGAAGACCTGATGTTTCCATTTTCTGAACAGAAAATGTATCTTTCCAGAAATCTAATTATTTTGCTTAGATCTCTAGATAAGGCAGGCACATTGGTATTTTAGTGCTAGGTCTGTAGTGGCCATAGAAATTGGCAGACTATTCTGATGGATAAATATGACTGTAGATTGGGATAGGGCTGGCCAAAGATATTTTATTGCCTTTTATGGATGATACCCCTCCCCAGTCCACATACAAAAGCTGACTGGACTAACAGTTGAATCTTATTTAAATACCTATAATGGGATAGCATCCACCACCACACCTGAGGCTGAATGGTAGTTTAGGAAGTTTAGGATAGGTTGCCTTGCACACATTGTATTACCGTGGATAGAAGGGAACAGTTGGAGAGGAAATGAGAACTGCTGCAAGACTGCCACCAGTACTGTCCACCAAAGACCATGTAGGATGACCCTTGATTGGAAGCTAGAGCTGGAGTAAAAGTTTTTAAACTGAGTAACATTTTGCTATATTGAATATTGACCTACAGAATTATTTGTTGTAGCTTATTATTGTTGTATCTTTTGCAGATCTAGTGGGCCTGGGCTTATCCTGCAAAGATCTGCCTCTGCACCATGATGACTGGAATATCAGAAGTTGCGGAATTATCCTTGGAGCCTTTGGTCACTTGCAAATTGTGCCTATCTGAATATTCATTGGATAATATGACTGCTCTTCAAGATTGCAGCTGCATCTTTTGTACATCTGTAAGTGTGGACAGCAATGTTAAAGGAAGAGAATAGGTTGAAATCATCAAGCAGCTACATGATGATATAGAAAATATCTGATTTATTTATGACATTTATATATCACTCTGTAGCTGGAAAGGATCTCAGAGCAGCTTCCTTATCAAAGACATGGTAGTTCTTGCCCTAAGGCTTATAGTCAAAAGTGACAGGACACAAAAGGAGAAAGGGAAGAATAGGGGAAGGAAAAACAAGAAGATTCAGGCCCTTTTTTAAATATTATAAGGACTACATTTAACACAAGTGTATTGATGTAATGCTGCCAACCTAATTAAGAATAAAAGAATGAATCCTTCATTATTATTTGCTTATAAATATTATATGTGTGTCACCATGTTCTTAAGAAGCTTCAAAAGCTGAAAAAATTTAGGGTCTGTTGAAGGATAAATTTCCCACGCAAAACTGATTTGTTCAGAGGGGCTTTTGCCAGTGCCTCCATCTGAGGCCGAGAGAATGTGACACACTTAAGGTCACCCAGTGGGTTTCCATGGCAGAGCCAGGATTTGAACCCTGGTCTCCAGGGTCTTAGTCCAGTGCTCAAACCACTACACTACACTGGCTCCCATAGGAAGTCTCATTTGGAGAAAAGCAGAATATTTCCTTTTGTAGTTCTAGAGTGAATCTCTTTCCTCCCTTAAAGATTTTTTTTGCTTGGAACAGTTATTCCCTTTGCCCTTCTGCAGTCCCATGGTGGGCTGTTATATTAGTGATGGTGGCATGGGGCTAAAAGGTATAATAGTAGAGGAAATATATCTAGTTCAGCTGATAGTTTAGAAAAGCTCCAGGACATAGTCTGTTGGCAAGTTAAGAAAGAGAGAGAAGGGTTTGGCTTTGTAAATTATAATTCCTTGCATCAGGACTAAATGAAAGCCCTGTCCAGATTACTGAAGTTTCCTAGATGACTGCATAGATTTGCCATTTCAGATACACAGATTGTTCTATTTACTGTGTAAATGTGACAGTACTAATCTTTAACATTGTGAATGGTCTGAATGTGGAAAATGGCTTGAATGTGGATCACTAGCAACTGACTATTAAAAAACAAAGCAAATACTAGTTGCTCATGATAATGTTGATCAAGCGTTGTGTAGTGCTAAGTCCTGACCTGTACACAATAGCCATATATGTGATATGTGTTATACCTCTTTCTGTATGGGTGGCAATGCCAAAGCAAAATGTGGCAGCTGTGATTGTGTGGAGAGATGCTAAAGAGAGAATGCATCCGGTAGGATCCATAGATTAGAAAAGCCACCATTTTGAAATACAACTCTGGGAGTCCCCCATTATCATGGCCATATTTAATGAGTGATTTGGAGAGCTATAATCCAAATAATTAACATTTCCAAGCTCTGGTAGGCTGGGTTTACATACATCTTCAAGAAGCGCTTGATTTTTTACATGAAGAGGGAGACATGAAAAGGTAGGATGGTAATGCTGTTTTATTCTGACATTTGAACATTTATCTGTTCATTTCTTTGATACAATGTGATCAAAATATTATTGCTGTATATATCTTAGAGCCTTATGACATGAGAAAAGAAAACCGAAAAGGATTAGTGGAGTAGCGACTCTCTGTGCCTCTCTGCATGCTGTTGAAGCACTCCTTTTCCTCAAGGAGGCGGTGATAAAGGCATGTCTTTTATCATGCTGGAAAAATCTGTTTGGCAAAAGGCATGATTTTATGACTGTCTTCCTTGGGAAGGAGAATGGAAGTGTCATGACAGCATGAGGAGAGGCAAGGAGAAAGCTGTTACTCTCCTGGTCCCCTTTGGCTTTCTTTTTTCATGTGATAAGATTATTAGAGGCTATGCAGACCAGACTAAAGGGCCAGTCTGGGGTTGGAGTCGGGGTGGGGCAGCTGCACATTAGCTGCCCCAACTCAGCTCTGATGTCGTCCTGATGCCGTGCGGTCGTCCGCACGGTTCATGCCATCAGGACATCCTCCTGGTGCAGCATCTACACACGCTGCGCCAAAGGGTGTGGAAGAGCTGCAGTGCCGGCTCTTAAGGCAGCCTTTTGCCGCTCCTAAAAGGAAGGGCAATTTGCCTCTCTTTTTTGGGAGCGGCAAAAGGGGTGACCGGGGTTGCGGCGTGCGGTTGCTGCGGCCCCGATCCGCCACTCCCAGGGGTGTCTCTGTGCTGCCCTTTTAGGCAGATCTGTAAAGGCCCATAGTCCTTCATCCTGACTCTGGGAAAACTAGGTCATTATTAAGGCTTCAGAGTGTGATTTGAATGTAGTTGCTAGGAATCTGTCTCTCCCTTCACAACACCTTCACACATATCATTGAGTTTTCATAGTATAATCAGGCAGTGATATAAAACTATGATGCTTGGGACAGAATGTTCATGGAAAGAATGCTTGTGAATGTAGTGGCTGGAATAAGGACATTGTTCCACCTATTACATTATATCACATTAAAGAGGTCATGTTCTTGGAGTGGGCTAAACTGTGACAAGAAAATCTGCTCTTCTTGAATGCAGGGTGATTTCCAGATCAGTTTTGCCAAGCTGAAACAAATGTATGGGTGTTTTGTGTTTTGCTGTCCAGTTATCTTCATGAGAGGTTACAGTGGACTCTCTTTGGAATTTTAATAGAAACAGAGGCCTATTTCAGTTGCTTGTCCTAATTAGATTAGATCTGTTAAATCAATAGGAACTTGATAGAGCAAGATTTATGTAAGTTCCATTGAATAAGTACACCAGGGAGAAGGAGCACTACCACCACTGCAGAGAAGAGATGTCTGTAGCTGTTCTCATAATCCACTTGCTGTGTCCTCTCTTTTCTAGAGCCCCTGCCTGTATGCCTATCTACTGCCTGCTGAGAAGATTAGCTACAGACCTTCAATAGCAGAATCCAGGCTTCCTAGGTGCTGAGCTAGCAGCTGGTAAACCAGCATTGCCATCACAAGGGGCCTGAAAGGTGATATAAGGGAATGCCTAGATAGAAAGCCCACTAACAGTGTGGGTGCCACTATCAGTGTTGCCACTGATGAGATTGCACCAAAGTTTCCCCATTTGGGGGAGCTTCTTCAGCTGTGGAGTGAAGATGAGGACCAGTTACCTTGTTTGGGAGTGGAGAGGAGGTATTTCCCCCCCACACACCTGGTTTTTAATTGGCCTTTTTCTTTAAACTGTCCTGCTGACAACTAGAGAGTAAGTATGGAGTATTCACAGAGCAGGAGAGGGGGAGCAGCCATTGCAGCATTAACAGGTAGAGTGAGATATGGAGTGGGGAGACAGAGCTATAAACATAGGAGATGGGTGTGAAGGTTGCCCCTAAACTGCCCTCTACCTCAAACATAGCCTTGGATAGCTTTGGAAGCAAGCCCTCTGGGCTGAAAATACTGCTGCTTAATCACCCTTAATCCAGGACCTGGATTAACATGCTGACCTGTTTTGTATTATGGAGAACTGGTTAGATGAAGCTGGGGGTGGGGGTTAACCTTTCACAGCTTTGTCTACCTGGGTTCTTCATGGAGCAGAAGGCGAGGCCTGGGGGGCAGGAAAGTGGAGTTGCAGTGGTCTGTCAAGATTCAGTCTCCCTCACCAGGTAACCTGTCCCACAGTCTGTTGGGTTTGAATGTGTGTAAAGGGTGTCTGGCAGGGACAGAATAGGGATTCCATTGGTATACCACTGCTCAACAGTGTCCCTTCCCGAACTGGCTGACTTGGTCTTGGTGCTGGTGTTGGAGTCCCCTCTGCTAGTTGTGCTGGGGGACTTCAACATCCATGTGGAGACCTCTCTGTCAGGAGCAGCTCAGGGCTTCATATCCTCTGTGACAACCATAGGTCTGTCCCAAGTAATATCTGATGCCACCTATGGACTTTATCACATGGGGAAAATCAAGGAAAATCAGGGGTTTAAACGGGCATTATCCAGCAATAATTGCCTAATTGCGGTAAAGATTTTCACACACCATCATGATTAAAGATGATTTATTCCAGGAATAACCAGAATAACCAGCAACAAATCATTCATGGGGAAATCCTGTGATTTGAACATTGGTCCAACACTCAAAACCACTACACTACATTGGTGTGTGTGTTTATCTATCTATGGGCCTGTAGGGATTGTCAGAAATAATGCAGCTTGAGTCCACTTTAACTGTCCTGGCTCAGTGCTAGGGAATCATGGGAACTGTAGTTTATTGTAGCACCAGAGCTCTCTGACAAAGAAGGCTCAATGTCTCAGAAAAAAACCTACAATTCCCATGATTCCCTAGCACTGAGCCAGGACAGTTAAAGTGGCCTCAAGCTGGATTATTTCTGGCAGTCTGTACAGGCTCTATATCTATCTCAGATCTAAAAGGTCTGAAGAAACACATATGTATCTTTTCTTGTGGAACATGCCAGGTTTTTTGATGTGTAGTTTGCATTGTCATGTACGCTGCAGGGTTTGCATGCTGGATGGTTTCAAGATGGATAGTGGGAAAGGTAAAGACATTTTTACATCCTGTTTGTCCCCCTTTTTAATTTTTTTAAGCTACAGCGTGAAAGTGCATCAGTGAAATAGCCCTTTGTTTCACTCTTTCACTGTTAGACTATAACTCATAGACAAGTAATGAAAAGTATATACAGTCGCCCCTCTGTTCTTGCAGACTTGAGATCTGCTGACTTAAATATTCATGGAGGGATGACCTCCTTTAATTTCAATGGGGGACTCGCCCATGGCGTGGGCCCCATTCAAGCCTATGGAGCTTGAATATTGATGAGTCTCCGTTTTTGTGTGTGTGGGGGTCCAGAATGGATCCCCTGTGAAAATGGAGGGCCGACTGTATTTCAAAAACTAAGGAACTCACCTCCAGCATCAGCAAACCATGTCCTTAGGATTAAAAAACCAACAACTTCTAATAAGGATATAAGAAATCACAATATGTGGCAACTAGCAGCCTCCACAAAATAACATAAAAGAGGCCAGTGAGAGGGAAAATGTAGATGCAGGTTGACAAGAACTGGAAATACCCAGCAAAAAGGAAGGTCTACGCTGAGTGCTCACACTTCTTTTGATCAGTCTCAAAAGACCTACATTGCAAAAAAGTTTTAGGTGCTACTTTATGTTAATGAGTTAGTTTTTGTATATTTTGTGTACTTGTTTATGAGTTCGTTTTTGTATATTATAATGTAAAATCCATATATAACAGTGTTCTTTCTGCACCGTCTTTTGAAAGAAGGCCTTGTATTGCCAATGGCTAGTGATTACCCTTAAAAACTCTGAAGTCTTCCCCCCCACTATTTAGGTCTTGTTTTGCAAATTTATGGGGACTCTTAAAGATATACTTTGACAAATGTCTTTAAGGATGAAAATATTTTCTTGAAGATTGAAGGCTGCAGTTATTGGAGCAGAGTGTTTGAGGGAAAAGTGATATGTTGAAAGGAGGCATACAAGTAGACAGTGGGTGATAGAAGACAGTCAGCCCTCCACATTTGCAGCTTTGTATTTGCAGATTTGATTATTCGTGGATTTGATTAATATGTTCTCTCTATGTCCTCCAGCATGACTTTGCCGGAAATTAACTATAGAGTCATGCTAGAGAAATTAGAGATTCCTAGAGAAACTACTT